ACAATAAACGAGGGTTAAATTACACATTTTTTGTGTATGTGATGAGAATTTCATCTATGGACTTTATGTGAAAAATATATGTGTCAAGTATTTGGAAGTTATGCATGGGATACTCGGAGACAGAATAAAGTTGTCAAACAGACCTGTTTTATTTGCTAACCTGGACTTGAATATGTACCATTTTTTTTTTTTTTTTTAAGGTTAGAGAGTACTCAAAAATGATTGAACTGTATCAGCAGAAAATCCTTAATCTAACCATCAGAGTGGAGCATATGGAGAAGAGCAGTGTATCTTACACAGAACTGGACTTCCAGTTACTGAAAGTGGAAATCAGTGACCTGGAGAGACTGGTCACTCAGCTGAAATCCAGCCTTGTTGGAAGCAATGTCATCGTTGAGCAAATATATTTGGAGGTATTGCCAGACTCTTAATTAGCCACAGAGGGTTCAAATATACAGATAGCCTATTCTCTCTTTAGTGTTTAGGTTGAGGAAATGTAGCCTGTCTCTACTGCAGTCAGAGGAATTATTTTAGCATTTCATCAGCATAAATTAAAAGAAAGCTTGACCTTAAATGCATTAACATATTTTTCCTTGATATAGAGCACAGAAAAGCAAAGAAACCTCAAAACAAATGGGGTCCTTTTTATTTTTGCCAACTATCTGCTTGAAAGTTAACAGTTATACATAGTGTTAAGCAGAGGAGCTGGTTAAATTATTACAATAAATATTAACTTATAGACCCCCATGCTTGAAAGCCTCTGTGCTTTAACGTAGATAATTAAAAAATTAGCTTCTGGTTGCTAGGGCAGTGGCCCAATCAATATGAAATCAAGAAGTTGGAAAGACTATCACCTTCCCAGCAGACTATAAATCACATTTTCAAAATGGTAATTAATCACTCACCTAGAGAGAATAATTACTTCAGATGGAAAGTGTAATATCATTTTCTCCATTGTCCTCTGGATCATCAAGGAGGTGATTGAGAACATTATTTGTCTTTGCAAATAAAATTTCCAGGTACTTTTGTAAGGCTGGAATAAGTACTTTTTATACATAATAGCTAGTACTTGCTTAAGACTTACTAGATACTTTTATACTATGTACAAAATACTATATTTTTGCATTGTGGTGTACAACTGAGTGTTAAAGCATTTCCTTTTGGTCACATACCTCTGCTGGAAATTTGAAGTTCAGGCTGGCAGAATAAGGTCTATTCTTAGAGGTATTTCTTAAAACCCATTCTGTAGCATCTTCTGTGATATGATCAACCTGTCTGCAAATATCAATAAAATAAAGCCGACAGAAATTTAAACTCGCACTCTTTTCTTTTTTTTTTTCCCCTAGATCACAAATCTGACTATACTGGTGAATGAACTAGAATCACTGGACAAAAACAATATCCTTGCAATTCGTCAACAAATTGTGTCTCTGCAGAATCGACTGAAAGCGTGTGAAGAGGGCACAAACAAAACTACAGTACGCCCTTATTTCCCACCAGGTAAACATCTCACTTGCGTGTATCAGATAAGAAACAACATAATACATGGGTAGAACAGTAAACGCACAGATTTCTCTTTGTTAATATTAAATACAATTGTAATGATACCACTTAGCTCTTGAAAAATTGAACAGACAGCTCCTAATGTTTCATCAACCGGTTCAAAAGGAAAATGAGAGCAGGAAACAAACGCTTCCAGATGCAGGAGCTGTTTTCAACCGGAAAAAGTCGTAATCTTCCTCTCACCTACAGTGCGAAAAGGGAATCTCTACCCTCCCTCTCTTTTTTCGAAACAATTACCTTTTTTATTTTTTTTTGTGGGAAACTATGTTTTTTTCTGACCAGCTTTGATTTTTAATAGTTCCTGTGAAAGTGACCTGTGTCATGGTAATTCTGCTCTAATGCTACTTGGGAAATGTATGAGCAACGGTTGATGTACTAAAGCTATTGGTATGCAAGCTCCGGAAGGTAGCTTTGCATGGAGATTACTTTTGCTTCACAGGCAAAAGATTCTTCTAAATCAGAAGGTCAAGAACCTTGAGGGGAAGTTCTGGTCTCGGGAATATAAGTGGGAACTTTATTACTGGTTTCAGCTGAACTAGGATTTTACCATTTTCTTAACTAGGAAAGGTCATGTTCTTGTGCTTAGATCAGTGGTTCCCGGAGTGCAGTTCATATAGAACTATCAACAGTCACAGGGCATGTGGTAATTAGTTTACAACTGGAATAATTTTTGTCTCGATGGTCTGTTCAATTTGAAAAATCACATTGCGAGTGAATTGTAGTCTGAGAAATATTAACAGTCAGATATGATATACTGGAGCAAACCATTTAGGAAACGCTAGTTTAGGTATGCCAAGTCAAGCGTCCCACTCACTAACAGACAGGAGGATTTGTCAAAATATGTGGATCCCCCAAGTGTTTTATACACAGGAGGTTCCTTTTGGCGGAATACCATTAAGAGAGAAAGTTCTCTGTTGTATACAATACCCAGGGGAAAGATTCCTTTTTTCACATAGGCTGGTTAGCAATCAGACAGAGGAACCCACAAAAAAGGAGGAATGATGGCCCTGCTTGCAAGGAGCGCAGATTTGCACCTCCCAGCATTTACCTCTCCCCACTTTTGGGTCAGCTAGTTCAAGTGAATAACATTGGAAAGGAGAGAGGCAGAAACACAAGCTTCCCTTAAGGTCAGCAGCCTTTCCTGTTGTGATCTCCTTAGGGCTTCATGGCGATGCAAGCTCTTCTCTGACAGGATGCATGAGTAACACCTTGTCTGGGGGATCAGGCAGGAGAAAAAGTTGAAAGAAGAACCTGCATTGCAAAATCTTAAGACCCTTCTCTGCTCCTTAAGGAAGGGCTTAAAATGTTTCAATGAAAAAAAAACCAAACAACAAAACCCACAATGTTTTACAAGTATTTGAAAGGCATCTCATTGATTTATTGAGGGTGACGGCGTGTGGAAAGAAACAGCCTCTTTCTCTTCAAGCCTACAGCAAGCCTTTGTTTTGATGAGAATGTACTGAGTTCTGGAACAAGAATATTGTGTCCTTCCATGAGTGATGGAAGAAGAGGCTGCTTTTATGCCTGGGTGGTTGGCATAAGCGTCTGTGGGACATAGGAGCTTTCACAGAGTGGGAAGGGAAGGCCTATGCTTCACAGTGCAGCTCCATGCAGGGATAGGCAAATCATGTCTGGAGCAGGATGATAGCTTTGGGATGGGTAAATGTAACTGCACAGGTTTGTGACCTTAATAGAATTATTTAGCATTGTTTCTCAGGGCACGATGGGGAGATTGATAGACCTGCATTGCTTTAGCATTGCCTTACTCCTGGCTAGTGTGCTAGCTAGCTAAGGCACCTTTGCATGTCATGGCATTGTGTGAGAACCACAGAGCAGAAAATAACTTAGAAGGCTAAAAGCCCAGGTGGTATGAACAACGATAGCTCCATTGACTTCCACAGAATTACCACCATTGACATCAGCTGAGGACATCACCTGGTGTTGTCTGTGAGTTTATCATCTACTCAACCCCAGAGGGGTTAGAGGATGTGTGTGGGTGTCCTGTCATGACCACTTTTAAGGTGAGGGTGGTCTCTGAGGGTGGTGTAAGGGACAGGCAGAGCAAACGTGGACTGGTGGCAAGTTTCCTGCCTGTTGGGAGATGCCAGCTGTACAGATAACCTAGGTGTTATATAGTCTCAGATCCCTACTAATACACATGGGACTGGTGTATCCTGGCTTTGTGTGCCTGGCAGGGAGCAAATGTTCTCTGGGCAAAGAACTTTGTAGAGCAATTAAATGTCCTGTGGACCGTATCTGAAAACAAGGAGTAGGAGGAAGATGTTATTGCTTGGGGAGATGGAGTAAGTATGTGAGAGCATTGCATTTTCTAGATGGTCATTTTGCAGTTTTTGCATGGATGCTCACACCTAGGCCTCTGAAACTCTCTAGCACTCATTTACGCATTTGAACACAATTTCCATACGTTTTCTCTGCGAGCTTGAATGCCTTGAATTCCTGCCAAACCATTCGGCCTTGTCCTGCTTTTAGTTCATATTATATTTATAATGTTTGTATTAAACTGACTCTTTGTCCTGTTTTCAGACTGCGTTTCCTTTCCCCCTTCATCCTCTATCCTGAGTATTTTGGGTAGGCAACATGAACTAGAGAGAGCTTGGCTAATCCCCAAGCTGTCTAAGACCATGAGTCTAAAGGCAAGTTTAATTAAAGCTTCTTGCTTCTCATTGCTGTAGTACACAGCCCCTCTGACTTTTCCCCCAAGGCTTTTGCTGCTTACTCTACTTACTCAGAGTAAGTAGGCCTGTTCTCAAGCAACGTAGCAGAAAGAAATCACTCGTCTCCATTTGCTTTTCTTTCCTACTGGAGAGGTGGGTGTCCGATTGTCTGAGATGGAGCTCAGTAAATGTATAGTTAATCAATCATCCTCATCGTCACTGGCTTTCCTATCTGCAGCAGTTCCTGGCATCCCTCTCCTCACCACTCCAGTGGGAAGAAATATTTATCCATTTGTTTTCCTTTTGTGCTGATCTCATCTGGCTGCATCAGGGCAGGTATAGAGAGAAAAGACCCCAGGATGGTTCTTTGAGGACTCTGCAGCAGATTCTTTGTCACATTTCACTGAAATGATCTGAGAGAGGCAGCAAGGAGAAGTGAGTCAGATGAAACTCTCAAAGGCTAAAAAAAAGAAAGAAAGGCAAAATAGAGTAAAGCTGTTTTTTTTTTCTGGCTTTTATACATTTAGGAATTAAGGATTTCAAGTTACTGGTGAGTAGGTCTCAGCAGGAGAAAGACCTGGTGTAGCCTAACGCTGTAACTCAGGCAATCTTATTAGAGTCTTACAGTGGTTTCGTTTTTACCTTATATTTTAGCTCCTATGTACCCAAGATGCCTATATTTTTTAAGTGTTTTGGGTTGTGTTTTGAAACAAATACATCCATACATAAAGACAGAGACATGCCTATAGGCACCTGAGAAGAGCTGGCCAGTGCCTCCTCTCTAAGACTGCCTGAACTGCCTCTGGAGACAGCTGCATTTCTGCACTGGCAATGGAGGGTCCTTAGCTGAGGCACCTGAATTTTTAGTTGCCTGAAGGTAGGTCAGATGAACTCCAGCTGTCCACCTCATCCACTGTTAGATGCTGACAACGTGAGTCTCCTCTGACACAGCTGTCAGCCTATGTCTGTGCCCTGTGATGCTGGTGAAGACTGAGGTGTCTGTGTGTGTCTTCTTATGTCACTGAGACAGTAGGAGCCAAGATGAGCCCTTCCTTGAGCAGCTCTGTCTCCTTGTCTCAAGCCATAGTAAGGCTGATAACAGCTCACACATCTGGACGCAGTGATTCATCTGATGGGAGAGGAGGGTGCACATCTGATGATCGGGAGCACGTGTAAGAGTGTAGCACCAGCCTGCTCCTGGTCTCTGTGCCCCTCATGAGAGTTCCTTTAAATGTGGGTCCCACCTTGTCTCGTGATCTTCAGCTGCATAGGCAAACTGTGGGCCCTTCTCTTCTGCAATCAGAAGCAGCTTCTTGGTGGGGGGAGGCTGCTGGAGTTTTTTCAGCCCCTGTATTGTTGGAGTGAGAAGCTGATGTGCTCTATGAGTGCTCTGGGTGAAGGGGGTGAAGCGAGACCCAACGGGATGCGTCTCGTGCTCAGTTCTGCAGCCCGTTGGCCAAGCAAGTCAGGCTCCCTCCAGTCCTGACAAGTAAGAGCTAAATCTTTTCTGATGAATCAGAAGGATTAGTAAACAACTGAGCTGAGGTAGTGGTTCTTTATGTAGGGAGAAGGAGAAGTACATGTGTTTGTACCTATGTTAGTCCTTCTCTCGCCTATTTGCTACACAAGCATGAAACAAAAGAAGGCAAAAATACCAGGATGTCGTTTATCAGTGGCCCAAAACACTGGAGAAAGGAGTTAAAAACTTGAAAGTTTGAATAATGCATATGGATTTATTTCAAGTACCTTCTAATATTTACAAAATTACATGACACTTTGTTTCCTTTGTGCATTTTTCTTCCCACAAGATCCAGACAGGGAGGCAAGTTTAGATTAAATAAACAACAATGAATTCTTCTGAACCTGTGCAGAAGACAGATCACCCCCTGACTACCACAGATTTTTTTTTGTAAAAAAAAAAAATAATTCTGGGAGAGTTTTCAGGGAAATCAAAATCAAGCACATACTCTATAGAAACCTCAGACAATTTTTGATGTCATTAAAACGGAACACGCTTCTAACTTTATTTTAATAATTCATTGTTTCATAAATAAAAACCAAACAAGTGTTCAGCAGAGAGCTCTCTTTAAGGGAAGAAATAATAATTTATTATTTCTTTTGTAAAAAAAGGTCTCTCTGCTGAACACACGTTAGTTTTTTATTTATGAAACAATGTATGAATTATTAAAATAAATCTGGAATTGTGTTCTGCTTAATGACATGAAAAATTATTTGAGGTCGCATATAGATGAGCTTAGCAGTGCTTCACTACCTGCAAGCCTCGGTGCAATATTTTTCTAAACAAATCAAGAGTTTTAGAGCATTTAATAACCATTTAATTCTGAGATAAGTTTACTGTGATTTAAGCGCAGTAATATATTCAATACGTCACCAGCTTGAAAGAAGCCCTCGTGCCGGAGGTAACAATACATAATAGGGATATAAGAAAAAAACAGTTCAAATTGATTTATGGAGTTGGCAGGCTGCAAGCCATTTTGCACTGTCTGCCTTAGCTTTCGTCCTTTGCATGAGCTGAGGTACAAGCACCTCCAAAGACCGATAAGTGTGCCAAGTGCTGAGGCCATGTTACTAGCCATGCTACGTGCCATTTCCAGAGATGCAGCCTGGCTAGCCATACGTCAGTGTGCTATATAAGCTTCCTCGTGTGCTATATTTGGAAATGAGGTTTCTGCTCCAGGGCCTCGTCCTTTGTAAAGCACTTAAGTGCATGCTTAAATGCTCATCTGCTCCGAGCCAGGAATGCTGATTTGTGGATTCTTGATGGCACGGAGGAAAGCAGCGTTCAACCAGGGTCATGCCATGTTTCAGCCGCAAGAATCCCAGGACACAAAAGGGACTGGAGGAGGAGACAGGGCTGCCCACAACTCATGTCACCTTCTCTGCCTTGAGCTGGACACTCAGTGATGCCTAACTGCTCCCATGGGCTATATTGACCCCAAGGAAGTTGCCAGTGTGGCCTGGGGACACAGAGATTTAGCTCAGCATAGTGATTTATATTTAACATAAAGCTGTTCTCCACCTTCCTCATAGATGTTGAGAGGTAGCTGCAGGTGAGTCACATGTTCCACAAGTCAGTAGCGCAAGAGAGCAAAAGGCTGTGAGGGGTAGTGTTACGTAGTGGAAGGAGAGAAATATTACATTTTGAGAAAGGAGAAGACGTGGAGACCTTTACTGCCCGAATCAACTTTATGCATTGGCACAAATGTTGCCCTCTTGCTTGGATATTTCTCACATTCAGGCTACAGGTTTCCTCATCCCAGAGACAGTGCACCTTCCTTCTGGGCAAAGCAGACGACAAAAAGATTTCTGTGTGTTTGCAACAGTCCATTTTTCATCAAATATCTTGTTTCCTAGTGTTTTTCCAAGGTGAGTACTTCAGATTCGTCTGTCTCCTCATAACCCTCTGTCTGTGGGATAGACTAGGATGTCTTTGAGCACAAGATATCTCCTAGACTTTTTCTGGCAGCAGCTTTAGGAGTTTTCAGTTTAGCTCCATAAGCATTATCTGTCCTTGCTTAGGGATGGCCAGCTTTGAGGGCAAAAGCTAAATTAGCTCTTTGTTATTTCTCTTTCTTCTTTGTGCTAAGACACAGATTGTTTATATGCTAGACATTCCTTCATACAACTGAGCTTATGAACAGCCATTCTTGTCATACAGGTGGTAAGCAATCATGACAATGGTACCCATGCAAAATATTAAAATCTAAAAAGTTAAGTTGGACTTTCATCATTGATGCCATAGCTGTTGGTGCATGGAGTTCTTGTGCTGAGGGAGGTATTATTAACATCGAACAGTTGGTGGCCATTAATATATCTATTAATTGCCATGTGAGATTTGAGTCTATTCATATTATACTCCACCTCCAATAAGGAAGGCTGTCTAGTGGCTAAAAAGGAGACATTGGAGTACCACTAAGCTTGTGAGCTGGTGCCAGTCACTGGACATCTCTGCATCTGCTACCTCAGGTGAACATATCCTTACAATGAAAACTCCGGGACATTTTTGTGGCAGCAATAAAAAAATCTAATGTTTAAACTTGGAAAAAAGCAGGCTGTTTTTTGCCAGTGGCAGCTTCGGACTCATCAGAGGCCCACAGATATTTATGAGTGGAGGATTTTTTCCGCCAGTAACTTACAATGTTGAGAATTTATCAGGAAACAGGACTGTCACTGCCATTCACCATGAGTAAAGGGAAAGTATTTCTTGCATCTAAATTCATTTGGACTTTTTTGTTCTGAAGTGTGTTCATCATCTTTGAATGTTCATTTTGCTTCTTTTTTTGTTCCTAGTAAGCCTGGAAAAAATTCTACCCAGCCTATCAGCAGATCTTGAAAAACATTCTGTAGGTGCAAAAACTCAAAAATTTTGGGTAGCAAAATTAAAAAGAAAAATAAATAAAATTTCCATGATTCTGAAAATGTCTTTGTAGTTGATATGTGGAAAACAGAGCTGTTCTGTTCAGCTTGAAGTCATATTCTCTTTAAAGTTGCCTGCCATGAAAAGTCAGAGTAGTTTCTGTCTACATTTCCTAGGCAGTGATTGCTACTGTCTGCGATTGCTTTGAGGGCCTGAGGTGGAAGGTACCATGCAGCTGTGACGCACTGCTGTACAGCTGTGATTCTGACAGCAGAATGCTAACCTGAAATGTGACTCTGGAATTACTGCTGCTGCTGCTCCTTCCTTCTCCTCCTCAGTGAAACACACAGAAATCAGATGCTCCTCTCTCTTTTTTTCCCCCATCTCCCATGCTCTCAGTTCCACTGAGGTAGAAAATAACCTAAAATGCTTCTGAAATTGTATTTTCCAAGGGATTTCCTAGTGCATCAAGCTGGCATGCATCAGATGGGTAGAAACAGAAATCCGTCCCTTGTCTGGAAAAGCACAGTGAGCACTTATTTTCTGCGAATTAATTCTGACTGAGGATTGGATGTCCTTATCTTTTCTCCACTTCCCACCCCCACAAATAGCTGTAATAATATGTACTTTTTTTTTTTTTAACAAACTTTCTGAGTCAACTTGGAACACTTAGTGACATCCAGTTGCTGATCTTGGCCCAAAATGAGCCTTTTACACATGAAATTGTGTGTTTATGCCTGTGCTTTGCCACAAAGCTAACCCCTAGTAAGCACACTCTAGAGGCTGCAGTAGAAAAAAACCTCTCTCCTAATGATGACATTTGGAAAACCTGTTTTTTTTTCTCTTTAATTGCAGGTAGCTGCATTCATCGTGGACTACTGAATGTTACCCAGCCCTATATTGTCAAGCTGAACTGGAGAGGATTTTCCTACAAATATGGTTCCTGGGGTAGAGATTACTATCCCTCTAACCCAGAGAAGGAAGTCTATTGGGTTGCACCATTGAACACAGATGGGAGATATTTGGAATATTACAGAATTTATAGTTCCTTTGATGATTTGCTGCTGTTTAAACCCATGTATCAAAGTAGAATAACATATGGAGAAGGAAGTGGTGCTGCCCTTTATAATAATTTTTTGTACTATCATGCTTATAGTTCAAGATATATGGTGAAGCATAATTTAAAAACAAACTTCATGGTTTTGAGAAAGGAGCTTCCAGATGCTGCTATCGGTAATCGTTTCTCTTATGCAGGTGTATCATGGCAAGACATAGATTTTGCTGTGGATGAAAGTGGGTTATGGGTAATATATTCAACAGAAAATAGCATGGGCAACATTGTGATTAGCAAACTCAATGAGACCACACTTGATGTGCTAAATACTTGGCAGACGAGGCAGTACAAACCATCTGTTTCCAACGCTTTCATGTTGTGTGGCGTTCTGTATGCCACAAGGCCAATCAGCACTAGGAAAGAGGAAATCTTCTACATGTATGACACAAGCACTGGCCAGGAAGGTAGAATTAGTGTCGTTATGGATAAAAAGTTAGATACAATTCAAAGTATCGATTATAACCCCACAGATCAGAGATTGTATGTTTACAATGATGGTTACCTTCTAAGATACGGTGTGGTCTTTCAGCCTTAGTATCTCAGTGACGTAAGCGTGCGATAAAACTGGCAGCAACCAAAAATGAGAGATTCGATACGCCTTTAGACAATGTTATTGCCAGTTTAGGGTTCATCTGGTCTGATATACTGTAGCTGTGGGTGTTAATATATATTACTTAGACTCTTTAAAGGAATTGCCCACTCCGGTCAGCAGTATTGCTGAGAGCAGTGTTTGGCAGTACTGGGTTCTTTAGGTTTTGACTGATGTTTATTAGCATTTGGTGCTTTGCAATTGTCCTGCCTCTAAGAGTAGATTTACTGCATGGGTTTAGTGCATTCTGTTCACAGAAATTGATGGGCACAGCCTATCTACTGACTGAGAAGCTAATTACCCACTAATGTGCATTTGTCAGTGTAACACAGGCAAGTCACCCAGAAACTGAGAATGAATTTCCACTGATGTTCATCAGAGTGGATTGAGGCTTCAGAGAAATTAATTGAAGGATTAAAATAGTATAGGAAGTAGACTTGGTTAGAGGACAGCAATCCATTTGTTAAGTGGAAGCAGCAGTATCTGGCTCAAGGCTTCAGGAGAGAGGGTAGAAACGCACTTTGCTGTTTGAAGTCCTACCACAGGGCGGAAAGAGAGGGCATAGAGGCAGGGACAGAGCTCCCTGCCCTTGCCCTCACTAGTGCAGTGGGACAGCCGCCCCTCGGGCCTCACTGGTAGCTGCCTCACGTCAGCTCAGCTGTCTCCCACACTGCCACAGCATCAGACTGGCTTCCCAGAGCGACTGTGGGGACAAAACTGGCAGCCAGGTTTCCATCAGCTTTCTCTCTCTTCCACTCTGCTGCCCTTAGCAACATCCTGTGCCTAGACCTGGCCTTATGAATGGACTTACTCCAATCTAGCCATGTTTTGTGGTCACCATGGCTCCATTTTCCTGGCAGTATAGTGCAAGAAACACTGTTTTCCTTTCCTTTATGCTCTTGCAAGCTGATGCACATCCTCACATTGACTTATTGGCCATGAGTGGCTCTTAGGTGTATCCCATGCATTGCCATAGAATGACAGCTGTGTTATTTAATGTCTCTATTCAGCATTTTTTGCCATTTTGTAATTGGCTTCCTGAGAGCCTTGTTAGTGTAGGATCCAATTTGTTCCCTGGGTGATTCTGTCTTACAGCAAGGTAAGAGGTCTCGTGAAAAACAGAAGTCTGGTCAAACTAGCTGGATATATGATGTGGAGGGTTTTTTTTAATGAGGATTGTGTAATAGCTTCTGAGTGTGTGCACTGTAACAATGTCTTACTTTCATCATGTCAGAAAGCAGGCTTAAAGACTGAAATTCAGAGCTCTACAATAGCGAAGAAAACAGTTTGTGAGGTTCATTTTCTTCTGTTACCTATGCAATCACGTCTATTTCCTCTGATAATCAAGGTCAATATGTATGCAAATGATTGCTTTTGTTTTAATAAAAAAAATATTTCAAAGAATCTCAACTGTGCTATAAAACCATGTAAAGCTGCTCGTGACAAATAGACAACTTCTAGGATGCACCGGGAAACCAGGGCACTGAATATTTGAAATAGGATCATTGCACTCACTTGGGCTCTGTGTGCTTTAACAGCTCTGGGGACAACACAAAGGTGTGAATCTGTATGTCAACAAGTACCTAAGAGGAGCTTTATTTACCCCCACAGAAATATATTAGCTGGTTAGGGTCACATTTCTCCACCAACCTGAGATATTACTCGAGACATTGGAGGCTGATAAACTTATGACACGTTTTGTAGCCAGGTGCTGCCACTTATCAGGTATCAGCATGTGTTTCTTGGAAACCTGTGAAATGAATTTGAAAGCTGTGGAGGCATTGGTGCAGTAATCTGATCAGTTAGCACAAGCAGGGCTGCTGAGTGAATAATCCGTAACAGCCCAAGTAAGGATTTGGCTGAGAAAGGAAGAAGAAAAGGCTAAAGCCTTGAAGGAATTGAAGCCTTTGAAGGCTAAAGCCCTGAAGGAATTGAATTTACATCTGTGTGTGTGTCATGGAAGGTGCTTAGCTCTCCCCTATCAAGAAATGCCGTCAGCATGGGCCTTGAGGCTCCTCAGCGTTTAGGGAGGGAATTGATGTTAGCATGCGTATAACTGATTCTGGTGAATTGACTGTGATTCTCAAGTCCTTCCTGGGGACAGATACTTGTGGTTGAGCTTTCTCCCCTTTGGAAACAGCAGTTGGCCTGGACTGAAGGCTTCCGTGGTGGTGGTGGAGGTGGGGATGCCGTGGCTGCCCACCACGCTCTGTTGCAGTTTGGCCCAGACCCTGTGTGATCCAGCACCGGGCTCCAGCTGGACCTCATTAAGATGACCCGGAGGTGGGGAGATAGAGGCAGCGGCCATCTCTTCAGGGAAACACACAATGTCGCTGCAAAGAAGATAAAACACAATTGTGTTAGACGTTGGTAGCTCAGTTCCAGAAAGAAAGCAGAAACATAGAATCATAGAATCATAGAATGGTTAGGGTTGGAAGGGATCTCAAAGATCGTCTAGTTCCAACCCCCCTGCCATGGACAGGGAAACTCTCCACTACACCAGGTTGCTCAAAGCCTCATTCAACCTGGCCTTGAACACTTCCAGGGATGGCGCATCCACAGCTTCTCTGGGCAACCTGTTCCAGTGCCTCACCACCCTCAGAGTGAAAATTTTCTTCCTTATATCTAACCTAAATCTGTCCTCTTTCAGTTTAAAGCCATTGTCCCTTGTCCTATCACTACATGCCCTTGTAAAAAGTCCCTCTCCAGCTTTCCTGTAGACCCCTTTAAAGTACTGGAAGGCTGCAATAAGATCACCCCGGAGCCTTCTATTCTTCAGGCCGAACAGCCCCAACTCTCTCAGCCTGTCTTCAGAGGAGAGGTGCTCTGGCCCTTGGAGCATCTTCGTGATCCTCTTTTGGACTCGCTCCAAAACCTTAAAATATGTTGTGTGAAGGAGATGGGTCAGGATGTTTCAGTCCTTGCAAGGCTGATTTTGTCCTTCGATTTTTCTCCTGTGCTGGTATTTCCCAGGCAGCTGGTGCTGGGATACAGTGAGGGCTCCCCAGGGGTCCATCAGGGCAGGGTCAGAGGAGCCCCCGGGGGTGGGCAGGATGGATGGTGAGGGACAGAAGTGGCCCTGGGGCCCTGGCAGCTGGCAGTACTGCTGGGAATGTTGTGAGTGGCTTTCCTGAGTTGTAGAAAGACCATTGTCCTTTGAAAAACAGAAAAATAAAGGCAAAAAATGACTCTATTTCAGCTGTTGGCCTATTGATTTGGTATCTCCCTGTGGAGGTTTTGGGGTATATAAACAATATTGAACGTAAATAGTACCTGCCACAGAGCCCGAAGGAGAGGACATCTGTCAGCACGGTGACACGGGGAACTGCAGCACAGGGACCTGGATACAATTCCGTCTGCGAGTGGATTTCACACCACCAAACTGGAGGCGCCTGAGGCGGGAGGCTGAGCTCTGATCCGTGCAATGGCTGCGCACGGGGAGAGAGGGACCTGCTGCCAAGGGGCGCCTCAAGATGGCGGAGTCATGCATCTTTTCGCTTCTTCCCTTAACCTTGTCCTTTCAGGCGTTGGATGAATGTGGTTTTGCAGAGCTGGCTGTTAAAATCGAAGTGTGTTCTTGAGCTAGTCATTGTGCACATCTTGGGCTGGCTTCATGCTGTCCCTGTTGCCCCTTCTCCTGTAGCTGGTGCTACCTCTGCTTTATGTGGGGAGTGTTTCCTCCTCTCCTTCCTCCTTGGACATGGAGAAGTCCTCACCCTCATGCTTCCTAGTGTGGGCTCTTACTGGGTTGGTGGCTATGCACCATTTCTTAGATGTGGCTTTTGCCTGCAGTGATATAATTTTCGCTCTGACCCTTTTCACCCAGGCTTTCCTGACGCCCACTGACCTTGTTCTCCCTGGTCTGTTTGAAGTGCAGTGACAAATTCATCCTCTTTTGCCTTTTGCAGTCCTTCTTAGTCCCACTTCTCTTTAACAAGTTAGACACAAGGTCGTTTTAATTTGTTCCAGGACTTTCACCTCCTCTGCTCTCAGCAAACCTGTTACCTGAGCCTGCTTGCTTTGCTGCCTAAGCGATGTCAACCTCCTTCATCCTCCTATTCCCTTGTCACGCACTCTTCCCTTTCTCCCACACTGACACTTTTCTCTGGGATGCCCTCTCCAAACAGATCTATCCACTTCCCTAGGTGGCTCCAAATTTCTCATGAAGGCCAGCTTCTCCCTTGAAGGTCCTGATAGATTGCCAGCTGACTACAGCTAACTTGTGCCTTCAGTAGGAGACTGGTAGTTATTTGCATCATGTATTCAATTAGCTGGCACATGAGAGCGTAAAGCTGGCACACATAAACTCTCTTATTATTCATTCCCTTATGTCACTCCCTCACTCTCTGTTACATTCACTTGTTGTATCTTGTCTTAAGCAGAGATTGTGTGCTCCTCGAGGGAAATACCTGTCTTTTAGTTTGGGGTAGTACAGCGCCTAGCACAACGGGCTGCTACCTTCCTTCTCTCTCTAGGTACTTCCAAGCAACAAGCAATAAAGAGCAACAAGAGCTGGCCAGGGATTGTTGCATGCATCTGTGTTTTTGTCTGAATTTTCATGGATGCTACTACGTGTGCTGCATATAAATCGGCTTTGAAAAGTAGGCAAACAATATGCTTCCAGACAACTGTGTAAACATTCTGTTGGAAACTGTTTCAGTAGCTATGTGCACATAATGTAGCTACAATGCATCCCTAAATTTGTACCATGTGGGGTAGGATCACTTTTCCTCCTGTAAATATTTGATTTCTTTCCTTTCTTTCTTTGCTTTTTTGTCACTGCACAACAGTTGCTCCCTGAAAGCCAGAGACCAATGGCACAAGTGTGCACCTAACACAGAGCCTGCAGCCATGATCTTTTTTCATACTGCCAACAACCTGTGATTTTGCAGGACTAGGAGTTCTCCTGATAGGACGAAATGCTCCCTTTGTAGCTAACTTGGGTT